GAGAGAGAGAGAGAGAGAGAGAGTAATTTGCTAGCTGTATACCCTAGGTTGTATAACGACTTATTCTAACGATCATACTCTTATTAGGATCATGAATCTACATAATGGCGCGCGGTGATTTCTCTCGATTAATAATTAGTTAGCCTGTTCGAGAACGAGAAGAATCGTCTGCACGGTGTTTAACAGATTAGACAAACCGATCAACCGATACGATATTTCCCCCTCCCCCTTTTCTGTAATCGCGTGGAAAAGGGGAAAAAAAAATTAGAGAAGGAATCAATTTTCATACGATTTTACACACTCATGATATTCACACAGAGGACACATACACACACATACATACACACGCGTACACGTACGCATGCATGCATAATTACTCGTATAAAACACGAACAAACACTACGTATAATATTCGACTAGAATCCCAGAGAGAGACGTATCATACACAAGACAGAGAGAGAGAGAGAAAGAGAGAGAAACGACGACACAGTCGGCGTGTTAATAATCTTTTTTTCAAGAGAGACGGTCAAAAGCTAGTCAAACGAGAATACAATTTCTAATTTCTACCAGTTTTAAATGTGTATAGATATTATTTGTACGTTTAATTGCGCAAAACCGGGGAAAGGGCGGAGAAAGAGAAAGAGAGCGAAGGCGAGCGCGCGCGCGATTTAAAAAGCAAAAACGAAAAAATAAAAAAAGTAAAAAAAAAAAAAGAGGACGAAGACGAAGGGAGAAAAGACCTTAGAGGGAAAGGAAACGGACAGAGAGAAAGAGAGAAGAATGTATGATGATTTTTGCGTCGATGTATGCAAAAGAAAAAAAAAAAAAGCTGAAAGACTGCTTCCAAACGACTTCAGGAAACTCGTTCAACGTAGGATTTATTATTTCGTGAATACTGAAACGCAGTATCTTAAATAAAAGCGTGATCGATTTAAAAAAAAAAAAAAAGAGGGCAGGACCTGAAAAAACTAGCTAAGAAAAACGCAGAGATATTATCCGTGTCGAGAGAGTGAACGTGCATGATGCGGTGATGGAAGAAGTAGATAAAGAAAAAGAAAGAAAGAAAAAAAAGAAAAGGTAAAAGTGATGATAAAACGAAAGCGTGATTCTGCCAAAGATCGACGAACGAACGAACGAACGAACCGAAGAGACTAGAAGAGATCTTAGATACATCTGTCAGAACACACCTGTGTATTTTCGTTTCAACAAACTGCAAATATTCGTTTTTTTTTTCCCACCACAAATGACGCTGTGCGATTTCGCAGATGTTTTTACGCTCAATCTCCAACGCTAAGGCGTTGCGTGTTCGTGCGGATTCAGAATCCACTGAATTACTAATTTAAATCTGTCTCGTCGCACAGCGCCACCATCGCGAACGAAATTGTCCGTGCTGGACCTGACGCAGTGACGGGACAAGGCAGTTAGTTGATCGCAGAGATTGCGGAGAGAACGTTGTATTTACAGTACTTACGCTGTCGTTGTGCATGTGTATATCGAGTCCACTGTTTGTGACCGCGTGGACATACGAATTTCCTCACATAGTCGCGTGGGGAACGACCGATGGCATTTTTGGTAGGCTTTCGGCAGAAACACAGCTTATTATTGCGATTCGCGACAGGCATCGAATGGATAAAACGATGTTAGACTTGTGTTCTTACCGTTTGATCTAAATTCTGGAGGAATTCCACACTGTTGGTATCTTTTCTTTTTCTTTTTTTCTTTCCTTCTGCTTTGAACAAATAATTTCTCGGCGTCACGAAGTTTCGTGAGTTTGGTATGTACAGCGTGCAACTTGATGGAAGAAAATGAGTGTCTTGTTTCACGTATAATTCGAATTTTATATATATATATATATATATTGTAATATCGATTTTTTTTAAACTAATCTTTGTACTCTAAATTAACTATACATTTTTGTTCTTGAATCTTTATACTTTAAATCGCTATGTATTATTGTTGATCCTGTAGCAGAACACATTTCAAGGATAGTTAAGATGTCCTGTCTACCACGTTGAAACTGAAGTTGATCTTTGTTTCTCTTCATCCGAGTATATATAATGCAATAAACTCGACAATATAAATTTTAAAACATTTAATGACCAATATTTCGCCACAAACTATATGCTAGATAGGATATCTTAATTTAAATTATTCTAATGAAATTTCAAGAACCAAGAGAATTCACCTTTTTTGAATTAGTTTTTTTAAATTAGTTCAACTGCCATGAGAACGTGTAAGATGTCCATGGAGGTTCAAGTTACAGTTCTCAGATTCGTCTCGAGTGCACTGTATATTTCTTCTATTCTTGAGGTATTTTCAACTTCTATGCACGTTTCGCGAAACCAGTCAGCTTTGTCATTGTAACGTGAAACACGTGTCAAAGCGTGACACGAAATATTTCGTGCTGTCGAAGGAATATTTTTCCAAGATCGAGAATTTCGATCGGTAAGAAATCGACTCGCGAGAGCCGCTAAAAATATTTAGAAGTCGAACGTTTCGTCGCACGGGGCTCGGACGATCAGCAGCAGCCACCCGGCACTTATCCATTCGTTGCGTTTGCTTTCAATCTTGCTTGCGAGAAAGGCGAGATCTCTTGTACCGACAAAGCGAGTGTTATTCGAATGCTAACGTGTAGCACAGGATTATTC